AAGGCACACATTTGGGGGCACAAATCTCTCTGAAATAGAAAAGAGTGGTTTTGTGTCATTTACAATGAATGTAACAAGCTAGAGAGAACTGGAGAGAACTTGGAGCCTAGGAACAGCCGCTAAATGGCCTGTGTTTTCCAATCCTATGCCCATGGTAGACATTGCTAATTGATCTTGACACTCTTTCTTGCTAAACACAAGTGGAGCCTCAGAATTCTCAATTAAAGTGCCTTGGTTCACTCAGGGAGGCTGAGGCAGGTAGATTGCTTGAGCTCAGAGTTTGAGACCACCCTGAGCAACAGCCCCCATTTCTACTAAAAACAGAAAAATTAGCCAGATGTTGTACTGGGCGCCTGTAGTCTCAGCTACTGGGGAAGGCTGAGGCAAGAGGATCACTTAAGCCCAAGACTTTGAGGTTGCTGTGAGCTATGATGATGTCATGGCATTCTACCCAGGGCAACAGAGTGAGACTCTGTCTTCAAAAAAGAAAGAAAGAAAGTGCTACTCGCTGTCACTAATCAATTGGAGATGGCATTTGAGATAAAACCTATTTGCTATCCTACATGATATCTAGGTAATGTAGTGATAGGACTAAAACAGTGGATCAATGGGTGGGGGAGGGGAGGTTTGTTCTCAGGGGATAACTGGCAATGTTTGGAGACATTTCTGGTTGTCACAACCTGGTGGGGACTCAGGGGGAGAGGTGTTATTGGCATCTACTGGGTAGAGGCCAAGATGCTGGTAAATATCTTACGTGTACTGGGACAGCACCTCTCTCCCTACCCTTAGCAAAAGAATTTTCCAGTCAAACCAACAACCCAATTTAAAAATGAGCAAAAAGGGGTGGCACCTATAGCTCAAGGAGTAGGGCTCCAGCCCCATATGCCGAAGGTGGTGGGTTCAAACCCAGCCCTGGCCAAAAACTGCAAAAAAAAAAAAAAAATTTCTTTGGGCAGAGTCTTTGGCTCAGTGAGTAAGGCACAGGCCCCATATACCAAGGGTGATGGGTTCAAACCTGGCCCTGGCCGAACTGCAACAAAAAAAATAGCTGGGGTGGCAGGTTCAAACTCAGCCCCAGCCAAAAACTGCAAAAAGAAAAAGAAAAAAATAGCTGGGCGTTATGACAGGCGCCTGTAATCCCAGCTACTCTGGAGGCTGAGGCAAGAGAATCATCTAAACCCAGAAGTTGGAGGTTGCTGTGAGTTGTGTGATGCCACGGCACTCTACCGAGGGTGACAAAGTAAGACTCTGTCTCTATAAATAAAAAAAAGAAATGAGCAAAAAGACTTAAATAGAGATTTCTCCAAAGAAGATATACAAATGGCCAAAAAGCACCTGAAAAGATGCTCAACATCACAATCATTAGGGAAATGCCAATCAAAACTATAGTTAGGCTGGGTGTGGTGGCTCACACCTATAATTCCGGTGTACTTTGGGATGCCGAGATGGGAGAATCACTTTGAACCCAGGAATTAGAAGTCAAAGTGAGTTATGATGATGCCACTGCACTCTAGCCTGGGCAACGAAGGGAGATTCTGTCTCAAAAAACAAAAATAAACAAAAACTATAATGACATACTACCCTATACCCATCAGGATGGTTATTATTTATAAAAACAACAACAGAAAATAATACGCATTGGTAAGAACGTGGAAAGATTAGAAGCCTTGTGCAATGCTGGTGGGGAATGTAAATGGTACAGGCATTTTCCGTGGAAAACAGTATGACAGTTCCTCAAAAAATTAAAAATAGAATTACCGGCTTGGCGCTTATAGCTTAACCAGCTAAGGCGCCAGCCACGTACACCTAAGGTGGCAGGTTCGAATCCCCAGCCCGGACCCGCCAAACAACAATGACGGCTGCAACCAAAAAATAGCCGGGCGTTGTGGCGGGCGCCTGTGGTCCCAGCTACTTGGGAGGCGGAGGCAGGAGACTCGCTTGAGCCCAGGAGTTGGAGGTTGCTGTGAGCTGTAATGCCACGGCACTCTACCCAGGGGGACAGTTTGAGGCTCTGTCTCAAAAAAAAAAAAAAAATAGAATTACCAGGCTTGGTATGGTGGCTCATACTTGTAATTCTAGCACTCCTGGAGGCTGAGGTGGGTGGATGGCTTGAGTTTAGTAGTTCAAGATCAGTTTGAGCACGAGCGAGACCCTAGCTCTACTGAAAACAGAAAAACTAGCCAGGCATTGCGGTAGGCACCTGTAGTCCCAGCTACTCAGGAGGCTGAGGCAGGAGGATTGATTTCTCAAGCCCAAGAGTTTGAGGTTGCTAGAGTTATGATGCCCTAGCACTCTACCCAGGGTGACAGAGTGAACAGTGAGAGTCTTTCTCAAAAAAAATGAGAGAGAGAGAGAGAGAATTATTAAATGATCCAGCAGTTCCACTTATGGGTGGGAAGCGGGGTCTCCAAATTATTCAAAGCAGGTCTCAAAGAGATATTTGTACATCCACGCAATAGCTAAAACATGGAAGCGAGCTAATGGATAAGTAAGCAAAATGTGGTATATTTTGGATGGAAATATTAATTGACCTTAAGCAGGAAGTCAGTTCTGCCATTTGCTACAACATGGATGAACCTCGACTTCATTACTTTCACCAAGTGAAATAAGCCAATCATAAAAAGACAAATATAGTATGATTCCACTTATATGAGCTACTTACAGTAGTCAGATCATAGAGACAGAAAATAGAATGGTGGTTGCCAGGGACAGTGGGGAATGGGAATTTATTGTTTGAAGGGTATAGAGTTTCAGTTTTACAAGGTGGAAAGAGTTGCAGAGTTGGATGTTGGTAATGGTTGCACAATATTAGGGATGTATTTAATGTTATTGAACTGAACACTTAAACATGATTGAGATAGTAAATGTTATGTGTGTTTTTTATTTAAAAAAAATTTTTTTTGAGACAGTCTTACTCAGTTGCCCCAGGCCAGAGTCTCATGGTGTTTAGTTTTTCCTATTTTTATTTATTTATTTATTTATTTTGAGACAGAGCCTCAAGCTGTCCCCCTGGGTAGAGAGCTGTGGCATCACAGCTCACGGCAACCTCCAACTC